TATATATATATATATATTACAACCTCTTATTAAAGTTTGGCTTTTGTTACCCCTGAAATTCACCAAGTTCTCAAGCCAATTACACCGATGTTGCTATAGTAAATGAGATATAAATTTAATTAATTGAACCCAGCGTTTGATAAGCAGTTGTTCCTAGTCAATGGATGCTTAAATACAATGAGGATACATAAGCTACATAAATAAAGTTCCTAAATGGAATAGATTACATGAGATTCAATACTCTATTTAGGAGTGCTTTTCTTGCAAAATCAAGTATTTTCTTTAATTTGACAGAATAAAAAGGTGCCAAACTATGATCCTCTTAGTAATTACAGAAACGCAAAAAAGGAAAAACTATTAACATTGGTTTTATTCAAAACTTATCTCTTTCAAAGTTGTTCACACTATGGCTTCTCAAAGGGAATCAGATCTCCATAATTAACTCTAGTTTTTCTTCCTATTTTAGCATAATAACAAGAAACTTAAACCAGTATATAGATGATTGTAATAATTAAGAAGTGGTGGACATGTTTCAAACACATTCAAGCAATTAGCAAAGCACCTTGATGTTCTAAAGTGCTATACCAATGGAAACATTCCTCCATTTTCACCTTTTGATATCAATTATTTTCTCTATTCTATTTGTTGTGTTGGGCAATGCAAAATCTCTTTCGCCACTCAACTCCACTTACATTATGCAATCTAGAAAGAGATTTATGTCTCTTGATTCAACTAAGCTTCCAGATCCACCAATGTCATGCCATACTTTTACTATTTACCATCGCCATGTATTTGAAAAATCAAACTTTAAAGATTATGACTCGTTGCTTGAAAGTAGGATTGCTCGATGTCATGCTAGAGCTAGTTATTTAGCTTCTATTTTTTATGATGGTAACGATGTTGTAACGCCAAATGACAACCAGAATGATGCAAATGCAGGTCTCACAAGGCAACAAGATGCACAAGGGGGTAAGATTCGCGAATTGGTCCCAAAATCAACTGATACACACTGCGTACATGGTGAGTATATTGCATCATTTTTTATTGGTACTCAATTGATCAAAACTTACTTGCTAATAGACAGTGTAAGTGGTTTACTTTGGTGGCAATGTGGACCATGTGAGGCCAATAACTGTTACAAACAGGATCAACCTCTATATAATTTTACTACGTCTAGAACTTCTCGAAAAGTTGATTGCATTCGACATAGTTCATATTGCATAACTGCGGACCCAGCTTTTCATTGTGATCATGATACTTCTGAATCTATATATAACAAGAAATATACAGATGGACCAGGAACAAAAGGTTTTATGGCAGATGACGTGATTTTTTTGTTTTAGACCAAAGACCAATTCGGGTTACGTTTGGATGTAGCAATGAACAAATTGGTCTTTTTAGTAGTTCCTATTCTGGGATTGTTGGCCTTGGGCGTAAAGTATTTCCACTAGAAAAGGGTGGATATTCTTTACCATCGCAATTTAGGGCATACCTATTTTCCACGTGTCTACCAACTTTTCATTCAGGAAAGGGATCTATACTGAGTTTCCATATAAGCAAGTGGCCAAGTGCAATATCAGCAAAATTGTTACCAAATTATAAGTACCCATCATTTTATTTTGTAAACTTTTATAAAGTTTTTGTTAATGAAAGGGAAGTTCCAGTGAAATCCTCGTGGTGGAATTTCAAACGAGATATGAGTGGTGGAATCTTCGTGGATACAGGGACAACTTTTACCCGTTTTCCTAATGATTTTTATGTCATATTTCGCTACATATTTAGAGCTGCAGTAGAAGATAGTCCTATGGTTGAAAATCCAATCGGACCTTTTGACACTTGCTATAAAGTGGATCCAAATGGTGAGGAACTATATTTTCCTATTGTGAAGTTGTACTTTGGTAGTGTAACCCGGAGTACAGAGTTGATTCTGGAACAAGAACGTGTAATTGTGAAATATCAGGGGTTTATTGTTTGGCTTTTATTGGATGGGAAGAAAACTACTCAATATTAGGGGTTAATCAACTCCAAGGTGTAGGATTAACTTTTGATACTTCAGCAAATACTTTGTCCTTTGACATTAATGCATGTGATTGAGGTATAAATAAAATTTCTTGTGTCTTGCAATCTCAAGGCGTACACAAATTCACTACGATTACAACTAGCATGTATTTTTCTTGCTTTCTTAAAATCATGGATCCGTCTCCCGTAAGAATGCCGTTCAAAATCATTTGTAGCAAGCGTCTCCAAATTGATATTTTTTTCATTCTTCAATTTGATTGATTAATTAAGTTACTGACAGCAAAGCTATCATATATCATAGTAAAATTAATATATATATATATA